TATTAACTAGCCTACATCTTTTCACCTTCCACTGTGGGGTTAATGTTTTTGCTACTTTTCATCATAATCATTGTAAGCATTTCCATTACAGTAAGAATGCTAAATCCATTGAAATGATGATACAAGTTTGCATTCACTGAGTTGACCAGTTATATTTGGATCCTCCATTATTTGTGTACATGAAGTACTCCTGTCTTTGCTCTAAACCATCTGTTTCGTTTTAACTCTCTCCTTGTTATTCCGAGCATTCATCATTCTGTGCTGCCTGGGGTTGTTCCTGATACAGTTTTGAATTCAGGGATCAGGCTTTGTGGGCATATGTTAATACAGCCAGCACACATTGGTCAAAGTCTTTACTTTTAAGTCAAAAGGGGGGTTACCCTTTTGGTGTCAAACATCGTTTTAGAACCACCCCAGTTCAGTTTGTGCCCTTTTTTTCCCATTTTGAACAGCTGGTTTTCAGTTATCTTTCAGTCAATACCCTGACATAAATAATCTTATGATTTTATAGTATCATGTTTGAAAATGATAGGTGTTTTATGAATTCACTGAAGTGTATTCAGGCCAGAGAAAAGGCAGTCCACAGGGTTTCTCACTCCATCCAGCTGTTTGTATCAATTCAGCTTTGACCATAGGGTTTCTACCCTGGAGTCAAGGCATATGTGATAATTAAAATTGACACAATATGGAGCTGTGTTCCAGTTATTCCTGCCCTTCTCCCCCCATGGTATGAGGATCTCTCACCAAACAGCATTCTTCCTTCTTCTCATTAAATAACCCTATAGGACATCATCTTAGAAAATGTAGTACATCTGCCCTATAAATATAAATGTATTGTTGTAATTTTTATATGAATAAATCAGCATTTATTGCAGCATCTAGCAGAAGAGCATTTGAATGGTGTTTGTTGTATCACAAGAAACAGAAATTTGACTTTAAAGTCGGCTGTAATTTTCATATGAAGTGATCTGGTCAAGAAACGGTTTAAAAAATGCATTTGACAACAGCGTGTGCGGATGTCGTTGCTCAGTGTGACTTTGGCCTGCATGCTGAATGTAAAGCTGTTCACAGCAATGCATTGACACCACCGTGCTTTTTCCTGCAGATTGCTTGCTGCCATATGTTCTTGTCTTGGCTGGGTGGAGAAAGAGTGTGTGCAGGTTGGGAGCCTTTGGCTTAGAGAAACAAAATGGGAGACGTCACCAAGTTCTCTGCTGACTTCGTCCCTTGCCAAAGACAAGGATGTCAGCTTGGTGGTCCCTTTCTGCTCACAGAGGGAACAAGATCTCCAAATCGGCCCAGGGCAAGGGAGCAGGGACACGCACCCAGCAGGCGCTTTGCCCTTTTTGAAGTTTTAAGATGTCGTGTGCGTTTTTGGCAGCTCAGTGCCTTTGTCAGGGTCATTCCCCAACCACAAGACGCATGATCTTATGTTCTCCAGCAAGCCTGAATCGCCTGGTGCCTGTGTTCTTCTTGCTGACTGTTAATTTGTTAGAATATCATATTAATCACCCAGCTTGCTGCTGTCTCATTTGACTAGCTGAAGGTCATGTGCCAGACTTCATTAATTGTCTTTCGACTCAAGGCTTCCTCAGCTTGGCATGCAGACCATCAAATACTTTAAGCCTAGGAAGAGAGGAATAAGGCACTTGTCAATCAAGGAAGGAAAAACAATATTTAAAAATGAAATCCTTGTGAGAATACTTGTTTCTGTTGTACATTTCTGAGGACGTATATCCCTAGTTAGCAGGGTTATAGGGGATCGGTTGTTCATATGATGAATCTTCCTTCCAAAGTTGTGTAATCGGGTTGTGTAGTGACACTTGTCTACAGAGCGATGAGTGTGGAGCTGTCACAACTGAGGAAGGTGTTAATGCTTGCCTTTCACCTCAAAGTTCCAACTGGAAGAGAAAATGAGAAGAGAGATGCCCTGGGTAATTTATCTTGTACATTCACAAAGCAAATCAGGAATGCATTGTGTTTGCTTTTCAGATTTTATGTTCCCATGATCTATTTGTGAACTTTGATTAAAGTGAAGGTTAAATAGAAAATCGCTTTTCTTTTGAAATGGAAAAAAAGGAATACATTGAGACATGCTCTTTAAGTTGAGAAGGACACGAAACAAAACATACGTGAGGTGCAAGAGAAACAAAAGTTACCCCAGAAGCTAGTAAATCACAATTTCTGTGTGCGTCGTCAGGCTGGTCATAGAAAATGAAAATGTATTAATCTGCAAGGAGAAAAAAAAGGTTTCTTTCTTTTCTTCTGGCCTCTACCCTAGTTAACCAATCATGGTCTGCATTCTTAGCATTCTACTGCAATTCAATTGGCCATTTAAACCTGCATTTGCACAAAACCTACAAAACACAGGGAATTCAATTGATGCAAGAGTGAAAGACGGGCTTTAGTCCACCAAAATATTTTAAAATACATATCTTGCATAGCTGTATTCCTTTTATTTTTATTTTTTAATTATATGCATGTGCATATTCTTACAGGGATTACAGTGTATTCAAGGTTAAACTTGTTTCTCTGTGCAAAACATCTCAAATAGCTCTATGATTGTTTTTTGTTTTTGAGCAATGGTAAGAGAATTACCCTAGGTGGCAGTATTGCAACATTGATAGTGGACATGCAGCAGTTTTTCCACTTAATGCTCAGCCCCAACACTAGGTGTAGGTCTCAGCAGTTTTGTAGCTGTACTCTTTATAATGCAGTTCTTCAAAGCTCCATTGGGAAGGTCAATTGTAGCTTTTTTTCTGTAAGAGACAAATGGTAGCCGTTAAGCATGATGCCAGGAGTGTCTTGCAGCTCAATAAATTAGTGTTTCTGGAAAAACAAATAACAAATGCACAGATTGAGCCCTTCATGTGACATTGCTGGATTTATTCTCATTTAGATGAAAGAGGGTCATATTGTACAATCTGGTGAAAGTATTTGAAATATTAGAAGTAGGTTTGTATTGCCTTTGTAGACTCAATTAAGTCACAGGGAACTTGTACTGTATATAGATTTTAACAAATATTTGATCCCTTTCATGTGTTGCAATGACTCTAATACAGGCCAGCCCCAGATAACTGATGTTTCAAGTGTCACCTTATTTGCATCAATTTGCATAGATGGATTCCTGGAATCATAATAGTATTTTATTACCAGTGTATGGATTTTCTTCTATGTCAATAGGATTTGTATAACACCCACCAAGTGATAAAATGTTCCTGTCAAAGGTTGTTAGAACCCAAAATGGATCAAAGTTCTTAATTAAAATTAAAGAAGTTGTGCTGGATTCTGTTTGCCTGCAATAGGGTCTTCTTATGTATTAGAAACAAAACAGTATGACACCTGTTCAAGAACTGAACCTGCTTAGGATAGGTGGGGAGTAGGAATGTTAGGGTTCAGCAAAACCACTGTAGGGAAGAATAGACTCTGTAAATATTTAAGCTATCTTTCACCACTGAATGAGCTGGCCAATGATGAGAAGTTTAGTGCTCTAATAGGCCAAAATAAACTGTGTTTCAAATGACACACTTTCATAGTTATTTCCAGTAAATAAAAGATCCATTCATTATTAATAAACGTTAATTTATTTTTAATAAGTGTGTAACTGTTGCCTTGGATTATATGCAGTTTACCTAATGCACTGTAACTCATCACCTTAATGTTTAAATTGGAACCACACTGCAGTGCTTAAGGTACTTAATGATCTAAGAATAGAGTTTCAGCAATGCATGGAAATAAATGCATAATAATACTGTGTTCCTTGATCATTTAGTAGAGTTAATAAAATGACTTCATTTAGCACTTACAGTAGCATGTGCATATCACTTACAGAAGAAAAACCAAGAGTTTATTTTGACTGTTAGCATTGATTGCCTCCTGTTTATGATAATAAAGAACCTGCCCGAAAGAATGGCTTTCTGCAAATAGAAGTGGGAAGTAGTGCATGCATGTCCATTGCTTTTGTCTCTGCTAGTCACTCTGTGTTAGAAGGCCTGACAACATTTAGTGTGCAGAATCACAGTTCAAGTTGAATAAAGTTAATTCCGTTGTGAGAATCTCTTCACTTCTAAGAATTTCTTTGACAGACCAGTATTATGAAATGTATATTACATATAAATTCTGGTTGCTGTGCCAGCTGGAAAAATCAAGATAGCATTTGTACTTCGCACTTCTTTATTTTGGATGTGGATTTCTGTTTTCTGCAAATGGGAACAGTGGTCTGCCATTATATTTTGTTTATCCTGAAATTCATAATTCCCATGAAAAAGTTACCCCCCCCGCCCCCCCGAGTTCTTCAATATTGCCATGAATAAATAACACAGAGCTTTCTGTGCAACTAATAGACGACCTGCACTCAAAACAGATATGTGTTCTTATTACAGGGGAGCTCTGCTGCTCTGGTATGAATAGTCTTTTTGACGAAGGGGAAATCAGAAAGCATGAAAGAGGAAACAAGATGTTAACCTGTTCCAATAGCTTCTTATTATCCACTTGTGAAATGTGCAGTGTGTAATCTTACAAAAAGTGCTGGCCTGTTGTTGGATTCTAGGAGAGGACAAAAGAAGGCACTGATTCCTCTGGTGCAAATTGTGCCAATTAAAATGAAGGGGAAATTAAAAACAGAAAATAGTTCAAGTATGTTGTCTGTGTGTCTTAAATGGCTGATTATTGCATTACCTTAACATAACAAGCAACTCTGCTTTTTGGCAATTTAAAATGAGTGTTTTCCTGTTATTAGGCAGGAACACAAAAAAGCTCTATAAGCTTCAAATGTGATTTACTTTTTTAAAGAAAATGTAGTTTGCAACACTTCATTTTAAATTAGTGTCCCTCAAAGACGTGTTTGCAGTTTATACTGTACATCCTTGCAATTCTTTGAGATGATTTTGTTTTCATAATGGGTTTAGGTCTTAGGACTATTCTTTTATTGCTGCATGAGTACAGATGCACTTACTGAACTGCCATTGCCCTGCCTCAACCCTGGTCTCTGTTGTTCACAGCATTACCAATGAAGCCGGAGCCTCCATCTACAGTGTCAGCCAGGAGGCTGTTAAGGAAATGCCCAATCTGGACCCCAATCTGAGGAGTGCAGGTATGACTGTGAGTGCAGACACCTGATGTACAGTATCAGTTCTGGGGCTTTCTTAGAAGAGAGTTATCTCACATGACTAAAATGAGTTTGTTTCTCTTGGGTTTGCAAAAAACAAACAAATTACAAGAGACTTTAAATTTGTGAGTCAGGGGACTGGAAAAAAAAAGAACAGCTCAGTTGCCACTGCCCGTTTGTCCACCTTGCTTTGTTAGGGAATATTTGGCAGTTTGTGTTATGTCTGCATGCCTGAAAAGGACAGGTCTCGGGTTGCATTGTGGATATCCATTAGTGCAGTGACAACAGTGTCTGCTTCCCGCTGAGCTGACCCTTGCTGTGCTTGGAGAGATCGCTGCTGTGATGTGTGTCAAGGAATCAGTTATGAGGTTTTGAGTGTGTGTTGTCACACTGCCTGCAGATAATCCTCACTGTGCCTGGTGTCCTGTCGATGTGAAGGTGTTTGACAGCTTTGGAGGGGGTGGCCTTGTGCTGGCTCACCATACACATCACCAGCAGCTCCAGACTTCTTCTCAGCCATAGGCACTGTGGGCCACACCCCTTCCCAGGCCACCTCTCTCTCATCCCTGCTGGTGATGTCAGACATCTTAACACACAGGAAGTAAAAGACTTCTGAAACTAATGCCCTGATGTTTTAGTGCTCATGAACGCCTGAAAGCTGAACCTTCTGAAAGGCGATGCATACGAAGTAAGGTTTTACAGTGCCATATCAAACAGAGGGATTTATTTGTTACCCACTGCTGTATGTTTGCTGTGATGCCTTTCTTGAAATCTTGAAGTCAGTGGAGATACAGAGCTCTGGTGTCATCTTAAGGTATTGATGACCTCCAGACTGAGTATAGCTAGTATATTGAGTATATTCCTTCAGAAATAGAAAGTGAAATGCTTTGTTGTTGATCTGACTACAAAACGACAGCACTTTAGCTGTGCCTTTGTGTTTCCCCAGTCGTGCGACTCATGGACCTCGCGATTAGAACAGAATCTCTACTGTTTGAATAGACTGAAAAGATCTGCTGCAAATATTAAGAGATTTTTCTATTTTGTAAATAGAATAGATGAGAATCGGGGAAATTTAACATTGTAATATATTAATGAATAATCTTTTCGAGTTTTATGTTGTAGAACGAATCACGTTTTCATGCGAGGTTAAACTTTTCTTCTGAGGGTAAAGAAGGTGGATTCCTGCAAGAGCTTCCTTGATTACTTCTCGCCAGCTAAATAAAAAATCAGTCCTTCCAGTCAAAACAAAAGTCCCCAAGTAAAGTTCATTTGGTTTCCTCTTCTTTTTTAAATAACCTGCTCCCCTGTCTTGGAGACAGCTCTGATATGACAGATGAGACATGACGGAAGCCCTTTATGGATGTATTGATTGTCAACATTGGGTGGGCAAGAGATTAGTGAATGACAGACAGCTGTTTGTGACAGGCAGCCAAAACGGTAACCTCTACAGAAGGAGTTGCTGGGAAAGAAAGGTCACACAGAACTGCTCTACCAGCTTTGTCAAGTCCCATCTGGCTGCTGTTATCCTTCAGGGCTTAGCTGACTGAAATGGCAGTTCACTACTTTATTACTGCGCAGAAACCTGGACCCAACATGCCGTCTCCCATGGATCTCAGACGCTTTCAGAAGTGGGACCTCATCTTGCCATCAAAGTTGTACCCTGCAGGGCCCGTGTCCTTTGGAATTCCAGTGGGGCAGAACAACTGTCATTGTGTTCTGATAAGAAGAAAGAGATGTACCTTTTTATTTTGTTCATCTTCCGGTCTTTTATAAAAGCAGACACCAACCTTCTGATGGTACCTTTAGGTGGCCTCCAGCATCAGCCCTGGCTTAACAATCTGGACAGAGCTTCCTAGATGTTGAATGTTTGGTTTGAAAAGAGCACTGTTTCCTTTTAGCATACTTAAAAAGGTCAATGACTTTCCTCACCTGCTCGCACAAACACACTTTTTGGTATTTTGTTGCTCTTTGGTTTGCAAGAAGTGTCCCTAAAATATGAGTTTTTGCAAAAGTTTACGTTGCCTGTTATTTTTTTAGGAACAAGTAATGGTTTATTTCCATGCTGAAAAGGGAAGAAAAGAAACACAACGTTTTGGCTGTGGAGACTTCTTCGGGTGTTATTTTTTTAGCTATCCTTGCAGGCTACTGCTGCTGTATCCTGACCTGTTCGTGGGAGACCGAGAACCTGTGTGCTCACTGCACTCCTCCAGTACACCCATCTGTCAGAGCCATTTCCCATTTCTCACCCTGCAAGCCTCACACTGCCTCACGTCTCTCTCTTGAAAACACTGCAGCTGCCCAATTCGGCTCAGCAGATGCTTTTTAACAGCAATTTAAGGATCTCCTTCTCACCAACACAATTCTTCTCAACACCAGTGACACTTTGAGAATTGTGCACTGCTTTTGGGAAATCTTGGTCAGATTTAAGTAATAAAAATTCCCTAAGCTTGAACCAACAAGCTTCAACCATAGGATTCAACCTGAGGTCCCAGCACCTTTACTGGTTGACCCCCTTAAAGACCAAATTCTTTAAAGATCGGAACCTAGTTTAATATTGCGAAACAATTTGATCGTGAGTTGTGTCAGTTCAAGTAAAGCTTCAAAGGATTTTGGAAATATGGAGAAAATCATTTTTTTCAAAAGCTTTTGCAACTGAAGTGCTTTGAAATCTGTGCCAGGATGTTATTCTTGAAGAGACCATGTATGATCTCATACTGATTGTAGAGTGTGACTGGAAAGTCACACTAGAAAATACTCCAATATAACTTTCATTGCAACTTCCTTCTAGAATGAGAAAAATATGGTAGTGATAAATATTTAGTTTTGTTTTTCACCATGTTTTACGTGGATTTTTTTGGAATTGTATTGTTCTGTGATTGAACAAGGGGAAAAGTATATTTTCTGAAAAGTACATACCATAATAACTTTAGGTCCATCCATCAATCCTACATGAGAAAGTCATATTAGGAGGGTTTTTTCTTTCTGCAATTAAGCAAAGATTCCTGGTTTTATGTCTTTCACAAATCTTTTTTAACCCAACCTCATTGTTGACATTTTTGGTGACTCTTAATCACAGAAATAAGAGCTTGGGGAAGGAGTTAATATATTTTGTTGTGGAGACAGGAAGCTTTATAAGTTTGCTAAGTACCTATATTTCTTCCTTTTTATGTACACGTATCTTCCATTAATAGTGTTCCTTGTGTGGAATTCTTATTGAGTTATAAGTGTTAGTCTGACAGAAACCTCAATTCACCAACACCACTTTTTATTAAACCTGTGTAGCTTTATAGTTCCAAAGCAATATGCACTGGAGAAGCCCAGTGCTGTGGAAATTCCCACTTCAACCTGGCTGAAATAAGTAAACACATTCCAGGTGACAGGAAGGTTTCCAAGTGAGAAACTGAAACAACGCTTGGCCTTTTCCTTCACAATAAGGACTTCTGTTATCCTGTGCTCTTGAAATAACATGCATTCTTGAAACTGTAGTCATGATACATGAGGATTCAAACTGGTGACATGCATATAAGGCTTTGGAGGCTCAGTCTTAAGACAAATGGGGCTACTGTGCTCAAGGCAGTATCTTCTGCCAAGGAGTTGAATTAGAGGTCAAAAGTATAGAGGTTCCTTGCCACTCAGGAAATCAGAACTGTTGGTCATCTAAGATAATTCCAAGATGAAACCTCTTTAAACATCTTTCTATTAAAATAGAAGAGTTTGCCAATTTTGTACAAGAGAGAATTATGGCTTTGAATGATTACTTATTAATGGATTACCATTTCTATGGCTAAAAGAAAGTAGTTTGACTGCATTTGTTTATCATTTCACAAATCTTCAGTGCTATTATATGTTTGTTGTATTCAAGTTATTAATGCATTGTTGTTTGTGCGGGTGGCTCTCTGGGAAAGGCACTGTGTAGAATATTGATCAGCTGATTATTGTTCCTCATAGCAATTAAAATGACCACAATTCTGTGATAATCCAGTAAGCAAAACAAAGTATCTAAAATATTACTGAGTCTGTCAGTGTGACATTAAAGCAAAGAAAATATTTCTGAATAATGAGTCCCAAATCGTAGTGTCTTTGGTACACTAAATGTATCTATATCTTACTTTACTTTTTCTGTCACAAAAACATGAAAATTTTATTCCTATTATTTGCCAGGCTCTTATACTCTTATCCATGGCAAAGTGCAATATACCTGGATTTTCAGTGTAAATTTTATGTACAGTATAAGTAACAATCCGGCAGGTACAGTAAGTTAATAAAACAACCATAAGTCTACCACAAGATGAAAGAGCAATGCAAGTGCCTCACAAACAATTGCAATTCAGAAGGCAGTGGGCAGCTCATTCCACCACTGAGGGTTGAGGGTGGACAATGAACAAGCTCTGGAAATTGTTCTACAGACGGGGGGGCAGAAAGTATGTGAAGAGAGTGTAGAGAGACTCAAGATCACAAAACTAATACATCAAGTCAAGGAGGATATTACAGTACTTACATTTTGTGTATTATATTTATTGTAACGCTTACGGCCGACAGGCACTGTGTAAGACCCGGCGTACCAGAGCAGGTGACGTCACCGCCCTTCCCTGTGATAGCAGGACCACAGCCACTAGGCTGAAAAGAGATCTCTCTTTAGCTCACGGGGCTGGGTCGCTGCAGAGAGACGCGGGAGTCCCGGGTTCGAGCCTCAGTCGGGATGGGGCCGACCTAATGCGGCAAGGGCGCCCGCCTGAGCCCCCGTTGCGTTCCAATATACTGTATTAGATAGCATTTTGAACTGCTATGCCACCATCATCCAGGTGGTACTGCACATTGCTGGTGGTGGAGGGGAGTTCCCGTTACCTGTAAAGCGCTTTGAGTGGAGTGTCCAGAAAAGCGCTATATAAGTGTAAATTGTTGTTGTTGTTGTTGTTACTTCACTGAAAATAACATTCTTGGAAGTTTTGAGTTTTACTGATACTGACCCCTAGTGGCAGAAGAGTAGCACTTAATGTTTTTGTTCTTGACCCATACAGTACATTATTTTTTTATCACAATTAATCACTAAGTTGTCAATCTGTAGACAGTCCTGCAGTTAGTCATTCTGTAAAGAGGTGGTTTGTAGACTGATTTTTAAAAAAATGATTTCTTATCCTGCTTGCATGCACTGTATTGAACCATCAGTCACTGACTGATAATCTCCTTTTGCAGAAGGCAGCTCAACGTAACATTCCAGCAGATAAAGAAGCTTTTTTTTCACTCAGCACATTCATATACAGTTCTGTGTTGATTTTACAACTGTTTCCAAGCTTATCAATCTTTTTAATACAAAGAAATTAGCAATATCCACCTCTATTTAGGGGATTTAACAGATTGCATTTCCCATTGTGAAACAAAGTATTTTCTTCTTCCAATTGTTTAAAATTTGGCAAAGAAGGGTGTTTCGCCAGAGTTTTTCTTTTTAGTCATTTCGGAATGAGAGGAGGTCATCTGGCCCATCTTGATCATTTGGTTGCTAATAGCTTATTGATCCAAGGATACCGTTTCCTACTGCTTCAGCACCATGACTGAGCAACTTGTTCCTGATTCCCTGTGGCCACATAACTTTAAAAATAAAAGCAGATGTAGAAGTTTGTGAAACATTTGTGTAGTCTTAACGTCAGATTATCAAATGGAGAAATTGTAAAAAAATATACATATTTTTGTTTCCAGTCGGTGATAGGAGAAAAAAATGTATTTAAATATTTTAAGAATTTCGTAATTTGCTTTGTTTCTAACTTTGTTCGGGCTAGCGAAATCACATGTTTCATCACCTCTTTCGCAGGTTTGTACAGTATATCACCTGTTTAGCAGCAAGTGTTGGGGGGGATGGGGAGTCACGTGGGACAGTCTGGAGGTATTTATGAGCTCCTGTTTCTAGGATTATGTATTTCTCCTTTTTTGTTTCCTTTTGTAGTTGGGAGTGTCCCAAAATTTAATCCGAGCGTGCTGGTCTCAGGTGGTGGCTCTCGCTGTTGGGTAAAGGGACAAAATCCCAGCTATGCTTTTCCAGTGAAAGAGAGAGACTGTTGTGATTAAATAGGGTAAGGCACATGTTTCCAGACTCTTCCGCAGATGGCTGAGTTATGACCTGTGAAGAATTCCAGTTACTTTATTAAATGCTTTTGCTGAGCATACTGCATTTCATCCGTTCAGATGAATAAAGGGGCGTGTGTGCTACCTTCGGTACATTTTTAAAATCTCATTCTGTTGGATATTTTCCAACTGCAAACATGTTCCTGAGCCGTTTTAGCACATGATTCTCACTTCAACAAAAAATGGTTTAGCTTTCTTTGGGTTACTCTGCTAGTGACTTGAAGTGTTTGCAGTTGGGATAGAGTATGTTCAGTAAATGATACTACGAAAGTTGTTGGAGCTCTGTCAAACAAGATCTGACTCTGTGAAAAGTTAACAACCTTTTTGATCAAATGTGTATTTAAGCCTCTTAAATTTGAAGACTAAATAAATGACCGGGCACATGGGATGCAGGAACAGCCACATGGTAGCAAGGAACAAGCCACCACATGCAGAGGGGATTTTTGTCAGGGATTCTCTGGGAAATGAGAGGGTGCAATAATATTTAGACAGGGATGATATTTCATCCGACAGGGAATACAGAAGCTGGGAGGGTTCGAGGCAGTGTGTAAGCAGTCACTTGTTGCATTCTGCAGAAATAAACAAGCAGCGTTGAATGTCCCTGAGGGTTATGTTGAAGAGTAGGCTTGCAGGAAATACTAACCTCCAGTTTGTTCATTACCATTCTGGTATCACGTGTTTAGTCATTGACAGCTTCATAATCTCCTAGTGGATTTGGATAGAATACATCAGGTTGATTGAACTAGACAGAAACAGAATCACCCCGTCTGCCCTTAGTCTCTTATCAGAATTTCTGGGTTTTTTTACCCCTTTATCCCTTGTCTTGTCCTGTCCCTGAAATGTAAAGAGTTCGGCATCCATCATGATTCAATCTAAAATGTTTTCTCTGAGTAGCAGCTCTCAGAAAAATAAGCATACTTTGATTGTTTGCCTTTTTGTAGCTGGGCTGTGTGCCCTTCTGTTCCGGTGATCTTCATAGAAGACACTGTAGTGTTGATTGTGTGCCTTTGTAGAACAGTTCTCCGGGTTACAATATGTTACTATTAAACCAAATGCCTCCATTCAAATTATGACAAATTTGCGCATCCATCTTTGAAAAATTAGATGCTTATCTTTGGCGTATTGTCTTATCCACAATAATGTTTCTTTTTTTCCATGAGAAGAGTGGTGTAATTGTTTTGGCATTTTCACTTGGCACACTTTTAATGTAGGAATAATTCTAATGTGCAATTATAAAATACGCAATAGCTGATGATTCATTAGTTATAAATATAAACTTTCTGCCTCTGTCTAAGAAGTCAGATTCTAAGGGGGAACAACATGTATCATCTTGAAGTAAAATGTGAAGATTAGTCACTGGAAAAAATTCATTAACATGTTTTTCAAGAAATAACATGGAAGAAGCAGGTCAGAAGTTTAAATATAATGTGTGTATATTGTCTGGCTAGGGATAGACATTGACAACTTCATCATAAACCAGTGCACCCGAAATGTAATGTGGTTTCAATTGAAGATCAATTATTGTAATCACATGAACTTTTTTTTGTTTTCTGCCTTTTTACCAGGAAACATCTGCTGCCCTTAGATTTGAACCATTGATAATGCAATTGCAAAAATGAAGCTTATAAATACATAGAGGTACTGTATAGCACTGATGAAATTCTCTTCTTGTTGATGATCAGTGGCAGATTTAATTGAATTAAGATTTCATTAAGTACTGTTGAAGAAAATTAATTGCATTTTCCTTCCCGGTGCATGGGCCTGCTTTGGAAGTGCCTGTGCTTATGACTGGATTGGGCATTTTAAAATCTATTTGGGCATCAGCAGGGAAAAAGAAATTACCTGAGCCGTGTCATAACTCATCAAGAAAGGGTGTTCAGATGGGGTGAATGGGGGGGAGGCTATGTATGAAAAAATCCCAGCTTTGCAGAGCTTTCTGCAGACACTGCAGTATTGAGTAATTGAGGGCATATTAAATAATCAGACAAATGAAAAAGTAATTTGCATATCTTTAACAGTGTAATCAAGACTTACTTTATTAGAACAGTTATTAAACTCCTCTGTGGAGACAAGCTTGCGTCTTGTTCAGCAGCCTACGGGTTCAAGCTTTGGTCCTGAACATAAGAGTACGTTCTATCAGAGAGCCCCCTACTGAAATGTGGTTTGATGAAGTAACACTGCAAACAGTTTTTGTTTCATTTGAACATAACTTCCAATTTTTCTGCTTAAGTTTTTGTTAACATTTATATGTAATTACATCCTGCACTTATGCAGTGATTTAAAAATAAATACATTTAAGTATTCACCTGAAAAAAGTCTGCACAGCTGAAAGTGTTGTTTTTTTGTATTTAGGTATAAAAGTAACCACTATTTGTTCCTTTGCAGCTCACATACAGTACATACAATACAGATGCTGGCTCTAACAACTAGAAATTCGCACTTTAAGACTTATATTAATGTTACAGTTAGTATAATTTTTACACATTGTGTTTATTAAAAGCTGTTTTTAGTTGATTTTTTTCTTTGCTAACCTGAAGAATAGTATTTTTGACAGCCTGCACCAGTGTGGTAATGTTTTAGATTTCATTCAAAGCTCAAAAACCAACTTGCTTTTGTGAATTTTGAGTATTTATTCTTAATTGCTCCCCTTCTTCAGGTGTAAAAATCTCTCCCTTCCCGGTGTGAAATCTGCAAGATCTGAGATGTTAAATAAGTGCAGCAAGTGAGCACTGTTAATGCCACATTTGTCATGCAATTAACTTCCTGTTCCACCTGTTATGGCCTGTGTTTTTATTTCTCTAACTAACCAGAGAGCAGCCCACAAAGTAAATACCTTTCTGCGGTCAAGCCTGTGACCACATTGTTTTCTAATTGTCTTGCAGTATCCATTGGAAGACGTGTTCAAGACCCATTAGCTGAGCTGGTGAAAATTGACCCTAAGCACATAGGAATTGGAACATACCAGGTAACAGCATGCATGCCAATTCAGTTTGTGCTGTCTTCCGCTTAACAGCAACATGTGCTTGAATGTATTGTGTGCAAATTCAATGGTTTCTCGTCTTTAAAGGCCTGGCCTTTTTAGCCTTGTTAGAAAATGTTTGGGCGTTGCTCAAGGCCAGTAAATATTTAGAAAGGCTATTTTTTCCATTGTCAAGATATTTTACATTAAGTAATCCTGACTGTTCAAAACAGCCACAGCCATTTTTGGAACATGTTCCACAGGTATCTCTTCTCGGTGTGTGTGTTTTTTTCTGTTGCTGTCTCTACGGCAGCCAACGCTAGTATAGGTTATTAAACCTGTGATATAACCTCCAGGTCTTTTGTCACAACCTGTGTTGTCCCTTTTACTGCTCCCTGTCTGACTCCTGCACAGACACTTGCTGGCTCCAATCATCTTAAACTAACAGTTAAAAAAAAATCAGCATTGTGAAAAAAAAGTATTGTCTTCAACTAGAAATAATAACGTCCATGCCCAGAGTTTTGATGTCATTGTAAAACATTTATCTACATATATTGGAGCAACATTTATCAGCCTGTACAGTATGTATGTGCAGACCTTTTTCATATAATTGGCTTTCCTCAAATGCAAGTTACAACACAGCCTGGGATTTGACCAAGTGAGGAATATGCTTGGATAAAACGGGAAAAAAAATTAAAAATGTACCGAGTTATGCCACTTCACAACAGAAAGCTGAGCCTGTAGAGCAACGAGAGTGGAATATCAGTTTTGTTATTTGGCCTTTTCAACCAACACTCCCTTTTAAGAGTGGATAGGAATGTTTTTTAAATGATATTTCCTTTATCCCCTGGAGGTGTTGTAGGAGCTCATAGGAAGTGTGTATGACCTGCTGTATCCCAGAGCAGCAAGCTGAGCTGAGTGTGAGAGAGCACTGTGGTACAGTAGAGCCCAGGAGAAGACAGGCCATGCCCTGACCTTCCCAGGCTGTGTCTCAGGTGGGGGCTCCATCCCTGCCATCAGCTGGCCTGTGAGGCACTTAAAAAGTTTGAAGGGAACTAGTCTTCTTTTTCTAGGGGCGGGGTATTAGGGGAGCAGTCATTGCAAGTGCTATGTGTCATCCATAAATCCATACACAGAGGCTTCAACAGCAGGCCAAGTAAGAAAGCCCAAGCAGTTCAGCGGGAATTTCCATACAGTCACTTAACCTTTAAAGGGCAGCTCACTAAAAGAAACTCTTCCAACCCTGCTTATGAAACGCTAGCATTGACTCGTTTGTTGGCTGTGCTTCTTCTTTTGTTCCTTTATTTGTTTCTTTGCAAACGCCAACCTTTTCCTTTCGCACAGCAGAGCTGCAGTGTCGGGGCTTCAGTTGATCTCTCCTGCCAGTCAGGGGCCTTTCTGCCTCAGCTGTGGTGGTGATGCTGATCTCTTGAGGTCCCTCGCTGCAGCTCACACTCCCAGCACACTTATAAAAAGATCTTTCAACACATCGCTTAATTACAGGCTCCAAACGTCCATGTGGATAGCAGATCTGTGTGTGTTGATTGTTCCCACTCACTGCTAGCCTCAGACTCATCCACAGCCTTATTAGATAAGGCAGATAGCAGCGTCTCAAACCACACTGAAGAAACCCTCTGTCTGAACCGTGAACAGAAGCTGCTTTACAAGTTACAGTCATACAGTGTCCTGTAGGTATACTGATACATCTCATGGTTCTCTGTCAGGAATAAAGTGCCATATTGATCAGAAAAAATAATGTTTAGATGTGGGTTTCATGGAATGGTTCAGGAAAGCTCTAATTTTTGTGAGTAAGTAAGTTGCAGGAAAAAACTGCAACAGCATTATAGCTCCAGAATAACTTCAAGAATACTTTATACCTAATACATTTATATAAAAAAACTATGAATATGACATGAAAAATGCTGGGCTTGAAGAAATGGAAAATGCACTTAAAAGATCTCTAATAGAACAGAGTTTAGAATATTGTATACATTTTTGTCACCACTTTACAAAAATGTAAATTGCTGTTCTGCAGTCAGTGCCAAGGCCCAGAGAAATGTCCACCATTGACAGGCTAAAAGAACTGAATCTTTTTCATCAAGAATAAACAAGTCAATGAGGGAACCTGAATCAAGTGTTCAAGATCTGCAAAGCTTTTGATAATCAACCCAATGGACTTCAGAATCAACAGTGAAACACCAAACAGGTGGCAGCTATGGATAAGTGTATTTAAAATTGATAGTAAGTGTTTCTTCACTCAAAGCTAAGCTTTCCAGCCATGTTGTTGTAGCTTCTTTTAGGTAATGGTTAGATAAATAGCTTGAATCAATTAGCTGCTCAAAAACAAATGCCAAATGCCACCCTCTCTTTTATAAATGTTCTTATTTCATCACTTCTATCTCTTTTTGTGGATTTTTTAAAATCCTTCCTGATCTGCAGTTCAGCTGTTTGCCCAAATTTCTCTGACCTTTAATTCCTAATGTTTTACATATTCTTTGTCTTTTCCCTTTGTTTAATATTAAGTCAGATTTCCAATACAGAATACAAGTTACTGAAATCAATTGCTATATTATAAGGAGGTTAAAAACATCACTAATCCAGTGTTATGTTGTTTGTTTTTTCAACTGTACAGTATATAATAAGTAATTAATTTTCCTTGGAACAATTAATTAAATTACTATTCCCAGTAGCATCATTTATTGACATAGGACTTGGGGTAGTTTAATATTTTTCAACAGATTGCTGGCTTCAACTTTGGAAGACCTTCAGTCAAAATAAATGTAGATTATAGGATTGAATCCCTTTTATTGCTTTTACATGAGATGTTAAAAAAGGGGAAAGAATAGTTTTATTCAATAACATACTGTTGTGATTGAGAATGCCTTTTAATAACAATTAAATAACAAACAAAAATATTTCAGTACCTTTTACTATGAGGAACTAAGAGCACAAAAAGGAATATTAGCATTGAATGCTGTTAGAATTAAATAAGGAATTGAAGCTCTTGCTTTTCTGATCATAATGGGTGAATCAGAGAGTTAGTTGTGATTCAAATATGATGTAAATTGGGCAGGATCGCATTTCCTTCTTTTAATTTATTGACTCTTTTAAACCTAACAGGCATTTTTTTTCTGCTTTGTGGAAAAGCCTGCAATTTTCTGAATTTCCATGAAATGATCAGAAGTATTTCATGTTCTTAGTTTCAGAATAACAGAAATGAAAAGTTTATTTTCTTTAATAGTTCATGAATGTTCAGTAACAACTAATAATTTTCAGTCATTATTGCAAGCAGGCTACACTCTGATCTGTGATTAAAAATATGTGGATCCTGGTCATGACATGACCACAGCTCATATAATGGATGTGCTCCATTATAGATTTACAAAGAATTCTTCACTTAAGATCACAAACTGGAGATTTAACTGTCAGATATTCCTTACTGATTCATTTTTCTGAATACACATTTGCCATTTGTAAAACAAAAATAAGCATACAGTGGACTGACAGAATAAAATTAATACCTTTATCCATTAATCATTTGTTTGAGCTATTGGTGTAAGTGTGAAGAGACATGCCCAATATTTCATAAGTGTTTGAGTGAGGATAAGATTGTGTTTCACAGTATCCCAGGATATTCATGGAATAATTTTTTCCAGGGAGATAAACTGGACAATAAAGTGGACATGCTATTAACATGCATTTTGTCCATTGTGAGATTTCCAGTATGTATATCTGTATGCTGCAAAATTGTCATTCTTTTAAGAAAAGTGGGTTTGAGGCTTATCAATTGAGTTTCCTATGTTTAACAGTTTGTGCTAACTTACTTTCCATTGTATTGTAAAACACAAAATGTAGTGAAAGAGTTCTGAGCTTTATAAAATATGACAACAGAGGTCGTTCTTACTGTTGCCTTATTCTCATATACATGACATTTGAAATAGTTGTAATACATGTCTAATTTGTAAGATAAAAGTTTGGAATTGCAAATTTTTTCTATTACACCAATGTGATGCTGAATAGCCAGATGTGTTTTTCATGTCTGGGCTCCCAGCTACAGTACAATCCCTGCATCTGTCTATGGGGGTGAATGAGGAAGTGTAGGCAGACTCCTCTGACCTGCCCACCTTCGGGTCCCTTGTCTTCGGACGCCTCACAGACATCGCAGCCCTGTATGGTGGCTCAGTGCAGGTTGGCGAAGAGGTCAGTCCCTCCCCAACGGCAAACAGGAGGTCGCAGGGATTTTTTGTGCTGCCGCTTGGTTACAGCTGGCTACAGGCATGACTCAACCTCGAACCTGTGACACCATAGAACACAATCTGTGCTTAGGTTAGCACTTTATCGACTGATCCAGCTGGGAACTCCCCCACCCTCCTCCCCTTAGAACACTTCAAGCACCTTAATTTGCTATATTCATCTTTTGTACCATCACTGTAAAACACTCGTCAAATTTCAAGTCCTAGAATGAACAACATGCAGACGGGAGCTGCATAGTGACCATCAATGACCAAAGGACTGGTTTGCCATTCACACAAAGGTGAAGGCAGTGTCCGCCATGGTCAGTGTTTCACTCAGTGTGTCACTAAGGCACATTGAGTCAATTTAAAAGGAAACAAAGAAAATCCAAAACCTCCAAAAGAAAGACCTTGTATCTGTGGTGTATTTGAGGCCTTCCTCTCTTGTGTATCTGTGGCTCAGTGAATACCAGTCCCCACAGTTCAGAGGCTATTTTTTCAAGTCATCTAACTCAAACCAGATGTTTTCTCCTAGACCCAGAAGTGAGCTTCTGCCAAGCTTCTCTTCAGAGGTCAGAGTTCTGGGCTCTGGGCCCTGCTAGAATTCTTGCACAAATTGCTGTTCGGTGAGGTTTTAATCCTAATGGAAAGAATAATGTGCTTGTAAAATCTACAGTTATTAGAGTCTCAGTATTCGTATTATGGACTTCAAATGGCCATGAGTTCCTTTCCCATAAACAGGGAATGCGGATGAATACATTAGGTAATGGGTTT